GGGCCCTGGCAACGAGGGGGCCCGGGTGTTGAGGCGCTGGGCTGCCCGCAGCCTGCCCGGTCACAGCGGGCTCAGCCATGCGGATCAGCCGCTCCTCCTTCCCTCCCCAGAGACTTCATTGAACAGCACTACGTGACCCTGAAGAAGGCAAACCCGGATTTCCCCATTCTGATCCGCGAGTGTTCCGGTGTCCAGCCCAAGCTCTGGGCTCGGTACGGTAAGTGGGGGGTGCCCGCCGGTAGCCACCACCTGAGGAGAGCTAGAGGCGAGCGCCAGAGCCCCGCGGTCTGCAGCGGGGTGGGGAGGAGGTTCAGCGATTAAGGGACATTGTAAGGGACATTGATGAGGGAGTAGCTGTCCACGAGGCAAGGTGGGTCTTGGCCTCAGAGGAGTGCGTTACTGCTGCATGATCTGGTGAGAAGCGAAAAAAGGGACCTGTGGCTCAGAAAGTGGTTTGCCAGCTCGTGGCTGTGATCTCCCACCACTATAGAATTCCTGTACAGAAAAACGTGTTTGTTCTTTCTTTTCACTGTGTCCTCAGTGAAACGCCAAGGAGGGAGCAGAAAAGCTCCTCTGTAGAGGCCTCATTTTCTTCCCAAGGCCAACTGGACTGGACAGAAATAATTTAGAAACTCTTTTAAGGCAAATGACTCTAAGCATGAGTTTCCCAGTGCGAGCAAACAGGCCAGCAGAGCCTGCTCGTATAGTGCTTGTCTCTTGTTTGTATGTGACTTGCAGGGAAATAGACCCCCAGCTAGGGGCTGCTGTAGGAACAGCAAGTTTTTCAGCACTATTTTACTGAAGTGTTGGTGAGCATCTTGATGTGAACAGGCCAAAAGCCACCAGGTTGCTTTGGGATGTGGTGATTGCCTCTGCCCAGCTGCTGTGCAGCAAAAGTTAACAGAAGGCGGCAAGGAAATGTATTAGGCTGTCTGGACTTCTCTCCAAGGGAAGGGCTGAGAAAAGAGAAGGTGGAAGTGATAACTTGGGCACAGGGAGGCACAGTGAGGAGTGGTGGGTGCAAAGGGTGGTGATGGGAGCCTGGGCTGTGACACCAGTGGCACTTAGGAAACTTAAAGCGGGGCTTTGCGGTTGCCCTTGCAGCAGAAAAGGACCAGGACACCTGCCCCTTCTCTCATCCTCTGTCTTTCCTGCAGAGTTTGGAAAGGAGAAAAGCGTACCGCTGAACAACCTTACTGTGGATGAAGTGGCCAAGGCCTTGGAGAACATTGTGAAAAGCAAGGTGTGAAGACAGACAGTAAATATGTGCGTGCTAAAGACTTGACTGATGATCTTTAATGTAAAATGTGTATCTTTTAACTTATCAATTGCATAAATGCAACATGCTTACCCTGAGCTTCACGTGTTGGGTTTATAGCCCAAAGGAGCTGCTGGAGGCAATGGCAAATCCAGCAGGGTTTATACACCACCTCCCCAGTATCAAGAGCCTATCTGCCCGGGGTCAGCTCTGCCTCAAGCTCTGGGGAGGCACGGGGCAGCCTGCTGGTAGCTGTGAGGACAGAAACAGTCATATCTTGCCAAGGACCAGCATCCCCGTGCAGACAGCACTGGTTCTCAGAGCAGGCAGTTAGACTCCTAAACAGCCCTGGGGAAAGCAGGGCACAGGGTGAACAAACGGTTTATTCCTCCTTGGAGCGCAGGGGGAAGGAAGGGAAGTGGCGTGGCCTAGGAGAAGGCAGACAACGTGGCGTGGCAGGGACTGAAGGTGGAGGCTCCCAGGGGCTGCCTGACCATGTCCAGCAGTGCTTGTGCCCGCTCCTGCAGCTCTGGGGTGTTCTGGTGCTGCTCAAGGGCTCGGTGCCCACCTTGCCTGACAAAGTCAGCAGCAGCCTGTGCGAGAGGAGAGGGGTGAGAGCTGCCTGGCTGCCATTTGAGTAGCTGCTACAGCTGATCCTGTCTGCCCAGAGCCACCACTGTGTGGCCTGGGGAACAGGGCTGGAGGAATTCCCCAGAGCCCTACCAGACACTAAAGTCCTAAGCCAGGTAGATCCAGCCATGCTCATTGCTGGCTGGGAGTTGCCAAAGCTTGAAGTAAGCACAACTGAATGAAAAGAATCCCCCCATAATAACCTCAAAGGGTACAACCAACAGGCACAAAAACCAGTCATTCTCAATGAAAAGGAACCCCCCAGAGGCAAAAGAAGGGCTTCTGCATCACACAAGTGGCCCCCTTCAGGCACATGTCTGGGTGCTGAGGAGCTGGGGCTAGTATGGCAATGACTGACAGCGGTATTATTTAAATAATGATCCCCATCCCCAGCTTTACGATCTCGTGCTTGATTCTGGGGCAGGCACCCTCAGCTCTTACCTCTGGCCAGTGCAGGAAGAGGAGGTGCAGCAGCTCGAGGCACTGCCCCACCACTTCGGGGTCAGGCAGCGTGAGGGTGGGCAGCAGCAGGGGCAGGGTGGGCTCCTGGTGCAGCTGCTGGCAGTAGGCTGGTCCCTTCTCTGCTATATTACACAGAACTGTCAGGACCTGGATGGAGAAGCCATGAGAAGGACTGAGCAATGTAGGCTTTGTTATTGGGCAGATTCCTGACAGGCTTGGGAGGGCTCTGAAGAACTCCCCAAGCCCTCCCTGGGGGTCTTGCCAGTGCTTCCCCAAAGCCACATGCCCACCAACCGGCTGGGTTTTGAATGCTTTTTAAAAGCCTTCTCCATTCATCCCCATGCCAAGCAGATGCAGCCGTACCACCCACCCCTGGAAAGAGCATACCCCCAAGACCCCCTACAGCTTTAGGGCCTTCCAAAAGGTGGCAGCAGCCTCTCCTGGCCTGCTCCAGGTGCTGGCAGGCCTGGCCCCAACTTAACACCTGCCTTGGGACCCCTCTTCTGCTGGGACAAGATTCTGTCAAGGGTAAATACAGATGTAGTGACTTCAGGGGAGGCGGATGGTGACTCTACCACAACATGAGACCTTCTGCCAAGCTGTTGCTACCACCCCAAGTCAACTTCCAACTTGAGCACTGTGTGTGCGGGATTCATGTTCCTGAAAGTCCAGTGCTCCCCCGCCCCAGACCTGGGGCACAAGGCGAGGTCTTACCAACACACTGGCCATCTGGGAACACGGCAGGAGCTGCAGCAGGGCCGGGAGCAAGTCCAGGGAGAGCAAAGCGGAGCAGAAGAAGGGCTCATCTGCTAGGGTGGGAAGAGAAGGAACATACTGATAAAATTGAGGTTTCTGAGGGAGGTCTCTGTAGACAAGATGCCATGAGTCTGCCAGCAATCAAGGCAGGTCCCAGCAGCAGCTCTGGCTCTGCTGACAGCCCCATGGGACACTCACCCGTGAGGTTGTTCAGCAGCCAGAGACACTCCGGTACGATGAACGGATGCTGCTGGAAGAAGCACTGCAGGATGAGGAAGAGGGCGATGAGCAGGCGCTCGTCCTGGATCTGGCCTTCGCAGCCCGTCTCCTCTGCGAGTAGGTTGCTGAGACATCGCAGCACTGGGCAGACAAGCTGTGACGGTGGGAAACAAAAAGCCCTTTAGCTGGGCAGCATCCCCACAGCAACACTGAGAATGGCCGACACCCTGCCCGCATCTTACCAGCTCCAGGCCCTCAGGAGCGTTTTGGGGAATTTCAGAAGCCAGGTCGAGCAAGAGCGAGGTAAGGGCAGGCAAGGCCCCCAGGGACAGCAATGCTGCGTTGGCTGTATGGCTGCAAAAGGAAGGGACAGCGTGGTTGCTCTCAACTCTCGGGCAGGGAAAACTGCTGCAGCCCTTGCCAAACTGGAAATTGGGAGCACTCTCCTGAACCACCATAGGGCTCATTTCATGTTTGAATAGCAGCTTGTCTCTGAGCTTAGGAGAAAGTTTAAAAGCCCTCATCAAACAGATTCACGGGCATTATCTGTGTGGGTCTGGAAACAACAGCCCTGATCCTTCTTTGAGTACCCACACATTCCCTTCCTCTGCTGGGGCTGCTGAAAGAGATGGCACTGGAGCTGCCACGCCAAGGCAGGTAGAGATTGTTGGCAGCATCCAGCCTGGCCAGGTGACACTGGGCTAACGCCAGAAGCTCAGGGGTCCAGGGAGCTTGCCTTGGGGAGTGCAGGGGATAACTCCAGATGTGGGGAGGTGACTGAGGGGTGTTTCAGAGGACTAGGAACAGCCTCAGGTTATCACCCTTATCACCTGTTACCACCCTGTAAAGGAACTCAGCGATCCTGCAAACAGCATGTGTGTGCTCACATATGAGAGTGGGAATGCCCAGGATGGCAGGGAAATTGCTTTCCCCAAGGGAAAGGGGTGAGGGGAGGCAATCCAGGACCCCCTGCAGGACACCATGCCTTCGTGCCTCTCTGTTTGGCTGCCCCCAGGGAACTCAAAATGAGGAGAAAAATCACGTTTACCTACAAATGATGTAGTGGAGACACCATGCAAACTCCACGGCTGCTCCTGTCCCAGCCTTGAGGCTGGAGCAAACCAGTCGAAGCATGTGCTGGGGGAGAACAGAGTCCAGAACCAAGCTGGGGGCAGAATGGCAGAGTTAACGGAGGCACAGGCCAGAGCACAAGCAGGACAGACTGACAGGGAGACACTAGCCCTGGCTGCTGAGCAGGGAGCTGCTCTCCCCATACTGGGCTCTGCATGCTCCAGAAACACACCTGGAAGAGACTTTTACTTAAGGGCTGCAGCCTCAGGCACCACTAAGGCCCACCAAAAGCTCTCCCTGTCCATGGCAGGCCCTGGGGATACTCAGCACACCTTGGCTGGGGTCACATTTTTGGCACTGGGGGCTGTCAAGCTGATCTTTTCCTTCGCAGAAATACAGCCAGAATTTCCCTGCAAGTCTACCCTGTTCAACACTGTCCTTTACCGAAATACCAGAGCTGTCTGCTCAGATGAGGCTGAGGGAAAAGAGTCAAGCCCCGCACCCTGATCTGCAACAAAACCTCCATAATTCTGGTAGGATTCTGCTCAGAATTATTAGTATCACTGTGATGGGAAAGGCGTCATTGTCCCTGGCATGCAAATACCACGCCAGGCCCCAGGGCCCATCCTGATTCAGAGTTAAGAGGCTCGGACTCACGGTATGATCTCTGCGGGGGCTTCCTTGGCTTGGAGGAGCTGCGAGAGGACGTAGCCCAGACCTTCCAGCACAGCCTCGTGTGGGGACTGCAATCAAACAGAACAAAGCTAATCCTGTGTGACAGAGCCAGGAGGATCCTGGGGTGCCAGCTGCCGTGCTGGTGAGAAGGCAATACCTCTTTGTAACACCAAACCAAGCAGCTGAGTGGCGCAGCCTTTCCATGCCTGTGGAAGAGGGCGCATAGCAGGGGACCGGGCGTGATAGAGCAAGCTGTGGCCACACCAAAGCTGAGCTGTCCCCCCTCCCCATACTCACATGGGCTGCAGCTGGACGGATGCAGGAGCCCAAACACAGCAGCAGAGCTGCTTTGGGCGTTCAGATCTGCACACGACAGCCCCACTCACTATCTTGGCCTCATTTGCCTGCTGGACCCAAGCCATACAGAGGGGAGAAGCCTGTGGCTCCCTGTGTTAGACTGTTTGTCTGCAAGCCACGGTTATGGATGCGAGAGATTCAGCTGGAGAAGAGCACAAGGTGGTGACTTGAGCCCCAAAAATGCAGGAGAGCCTGTGAGAGACCCTCACCTGCAAGGGAACAACAACCCTCTGCAGGGGGGTCTCCACTCATGACCACAGCTGGAAGGAGGTACTGACAGCCAGTGTTTGAAGTGCCTAAGAAAAGTCTGTCTGAGGCAGGGCAGGGGAAGAGCTCTTTCACCCACCTGGATGCAGGATGCCAGCACTGGAATGATGCCCTGAGGCAGAAGCTGCTTCCTCACAGCTTCACTTTCCACTACCAGATTCCCCAGCGTGTACAAACACAGCTCCTGAAACATACCCGAGAGAGCAGGTCATCTCCTTCGTACTCCCCAGCAGGACCCTGGCCAGCCTGGGCAGCCAGCAAGGCCTCTGAGTCCCTGTACCCCGGGACTAGGGCACACGCTTCCCCTGAGCGGGGCAGAAGCTTCATCAGAGGGATAAACATAGATGGATAATGCTGGACTCTCCAGCTACCCCATTCCCAGCCAGATGAACTTCAGTTTATCCTTTTTCTATGTCTCAGGCTAGGATCTGATCACTTCTACTTTGGAGGTTTTTCAGGATTCCAATTATTGCTATGACATTTCCCTGGGACCCCTCTAATTCCACAGTATTCTCCTGGAAACTGCCTGTGTGCTGGATTAAAATGTTATCATC